GGGTTTTTTTTTTTTTAAAAAAAAAAAAAAAAAAAAAAAAAAAACTTATCCTACTTTTGGGATTTGGTTGGTTCCCTATTCGTAGACGACTCCATTTCTATCCATTTTTCCTGCCAGAATCCTCTCACTTGTTGCTTTCACTTAATGTGAACGTTTGACTCTTCTATCCCTCTTTGAAACTTATCTCAATCATGAAATTAACCTCATAATTAACGAAATTAATCCATGATATGGGTGTTTATTATCAGGTCAGACGATATGTTTATCATGATGTAATTCGATTGGGGGATCTTGAGAAGCTCATTGACTGTTCCCATATTCAGGTAATTTTTTCAATTTCGTTCATTAATTAAGGATTAAGCATAGAATTAAGTGAGATAATTAATTATGAAATTGGGCAGCCGTACACCATCAACGGCGCCAAAGTGATCTTCCTGAATTACCGGCCACAGTCACGCCCATGCAAGCAAGGCGCCTCCACCAACGTTTGCTTCACCTGCGACAGAATTCTCCAAGAACCCTTCCATTTCTGCTCTCTCTCCTGCAAGGTTTCTCCCTCGAACCCGTCTCGATTTCCCGACATGCATGCTAAAATCACCGGTCTCGTGAAATTCCCTATTTATAATATGATATTTATGGTAAGCAGTAATAAAAGGCTAAATATTATTTCAGGTGGATCACATGGTGTATCAAGGGGAGGATTTATGTGGAATTTTGCACCGGTTCGACGAGTCGGATTTCTCGTACGCACAATTCGAAGGGCTTAGAGGGGAGGGGCTAAAAGGGTTAGATGAGGATGGTCAAATAACACCAAATTCCATGGTTGAGGACTCATCGCAGTTCAATGAAGGCTCGTCTTGCTCCAATATCAACGATTTAAACCCCACCAACGTCTCGTCGGGAACTCATATCTTCAAAAGAAAAAACAAAACCGCCGATTTCCTTCCCGCCGGCATCGTTCTATCACTCAGTAGTAGAAGAAAAGGCGCCCCTCAAAGGTCTCCTCTCTCTTAAACCCCAAGATTCCGATACCATATTATTGAAATTAAAATAAATAATCTAAGCTCGGGTTTGTTTATTTTATAAATGATTCGGATAATTGTGTCGTGTCGCCGTTCATGGTCCTATTGTCGGGTAAGGGCTTGGCTTTGGCGGGTGAATTACACGGCGGTGGGTGCGGGTATTTTCCGACGACTTCGCCGGCTTTTTTCAGGTCGGGTGGTTTTGGAGATATTTCTTATTTGCACCCACCAATTTTGTATTAATTCGTGTAATTTATCGGAACTTGCACGTAAATTATATATTGTGCTTTGGGTTGTTGTTCATTGTGCCCTATTTTTCTACTTATTGGGTGTTGCGTTGATTTAATCTTTATTGCCCATTTTCCATTTTACTTTCATTATATTTGTGTCTAATAAACAATTCTCGACTCGTCCACTCCTAAAGCTTTGGTCTCACCTCGGAAGACAAGGATTTTTTCATGATGTGTCGAATACATTTGTCTTTGAGAAACTATCATCACTTTGATATAACTCGGTAATTCAGAAGGATGCCAGAGTATATTTTACCCTAAAATGAAAATTAAAATTAAAATAGATAAAACAAGAAGAAAAAAAAATTAAAAGAACCGAAATTAATTTTAATTAATTTAATGAATTTCTCTTGAAAGGTTTAAAAAGTGTTAAAAAAAAATATAATATTAAAATTAAAAAATAGTATTCTATTTTGGAATGAGAGTTTTCACAATTTAGTCTTAAATTTTTGGATTGGCTTGGGGTGGTTGTTTTTATGGGTTGCGGGAGGGTGCATGGTAGGGCAAATGGCAAATGGGGGAGTCAGAGAAATCACGTGGCTATGCCAGCTGGCGCCTGGTATTCCAAAATAGTTCATACTCTACGAAGCTATTAGAAACCTAGCAAGTAAACAAGACGAGATACCCATCTAGCTGTCATACCCGGGGTGCATACACGTGTCCCTGTACTGCATCAATAACTAAGTCATACCTCAATTGGACACCTGATAATCCGATACGGCGTTTATACTTCATTGTCTCCAGTACACGTGTCACCCTGCTATTAAATTTATAAAGAAAATACTATTTTTGGTATTTTATACAAAGTTTATATCTATCTACGAGGTTCATTTTTTTTTTCTTTTTTTTTTTTATACAGACAATTAAATTTTTAATCATTTGATGCATATTGTCTGATACACGAATCGTCATTCCACGTATTTGCCCAGAAAAATCCGTACAATTATTCTGTACATTTTAATACTCCGCAGAGAGCACAAACTGTTGGATACCCAATTTTGCATCCGTGATGTTCCAATTTTTTTTATAAATCTATTTAAATATTAATGATTGGATGACTAATTCATGAAATGATCATGAATTTATGCTCAAAGTGTGGAGTCGGGTTCCTTTAATATTAATTATTCAATTTTAATATGCTCGACCACTTTCTTAATTGTTTTTTTATTTTTTATTTTGGGAGAAGGTGGTGTTGATATGACTAGTCTTGCGTTGACCGAGTTGTTTGTCCATTCAAGCGGCATATCATTGCATCGGTACAGTTGGCCCCCAGAGTTCAGAGTTTATCACAGTCTTGGATCGAAAGCTCTGTGTAGGGGATACTTGGATTTACTTTCACCATTATAATATTATTACTCTTTTACCGTCTTTCTTTTTCTTACCGTAAAGTAAACAGTAAATTCTGATTTTCAAAAAATTAAAAATAATAGATTGATAATGAGTTTGACCATTGGTCAAAGGAAGATGCCAGAATTAGGCAAAAGGATAGTGAAATGGCGAAGGGAAGAAGAAGGGAACAAAACTGTGAAGTATTTGGAGTTGGAGATTTTAGATTATTGTTATTATTATTTATAAGTGATTTGTCAGAAAAGACGTGGACCCCATAACCACCAGTAAGGGTATAATAGTCAAAAAAACCTTTGACCAACCTCTGTTTGTTGACCCTACTATCCTTCCCCTGTTGCCTAACTGTAGGGGCTACTTTTGTTTGGTAGCTAACAACATGCAAACCAAAACCCATATATATTTTTATTCCTTCTTTTCCTGCCTCTCCCTTTCAAAACTTACCATTTATAAAATATTTTTATTATGATCGTATTTTGTTCGTTACATTTCAAAAAAAAAATTCAATTCATAGATTCGACGGATTCAATTCACAGTCGACTAGTGAGTATCTTCTCTACAAATTGGTCAACTCGACACGTAAGTGTGGATCGTAATCGATTCGTAGATTAGGTCATAATATTTGAGGTGTGAAATAATTTAAGGTAAAAATAGGTTGAAATCCGACCATTTCCTCAGGAGGTGGATTGAAATCCGACCAATTCCAGTGGGATGGAATTGTGTTGGGATTGAGAGGAGAGAGAGAAATGGATGAATGTTGGCAGAGGTCTGAAAATTTATGATGCTTCCATTCGGTAACAGAGACTGTTCCCAGTCTTATCAGAACTAAAAATTATCTGTTTTGTTTGTGATAATGTGATGCCAAAATAATATGATTTTATGTATTGAGGTTCAAAATTAAAACCCTGTTTTCAACTGTTTGGATGTAGGGGTTTCATTTTCATGTATAAAGTTGGTTATCTTTTCTATGCATGTTTTTAGCACATAATTCTGGTAAAGTTGGCCAACCAAAAAGGGTAAAAAAAACATGAAATAATATTATATTTTATATATATTAAAGAGAGAGAGAGGGGGGAGGGACCCCGTGAGCTTTGAAATTAAATGCCGACACAGATACTCACAGCAACCAATTTATAAATGTCTAACCACCAAACAGCAAACAATTTAATTCCAGATTTTTCACTATATATATAGACCCCACAACTTCAATCACTCATCCATTCAGTTAACGCTTCTCCAGCGTCCGTTTTCAGTTCATGGATTTCAAACCTGTATGTCTCGGTTTAGGACCATACGGTAAATGCATGAATAAGATGTGCTCAAAAAATTGGTACGTTCTGACTGGATAAGTAACAAACATTGACGGTAGATGCTTAGCCACTTGAAGGCTTGAGGAACAGCCCGCTAAAGCAAAAGCGGTAGAGACAGCAAAATGTACTTCGTTGTCATCTCCAACTAATGTGAGATCTCACAATTCACCCTCTTGAAATCCCGTCGTCCTTAAGAAAACCTTACCCAGTGTTACTTTTTGTAATAAGTTAAGTCCACCGCTGGCCGCTATGATTTTTTTTGGGTTCTCCCTTCCAAGTTTTCCCTCAAGATTTTAAAATACATCTACTAGAGATAGGTTCCCAAACCCTTATAATTAAATGCTTTGTTCCACTCTCAAACGGACGTGGGATCTCACAATATGATATCATTTCTAACAATCCAAGTCCATTACTAGTAGATATTGTCCGTTCTTGTCCATTACGTATCACTATCAGTCTCACGGTTTTAAAACACGTTTACTAGAGAGAGATTTCAACACTTTTATAGATGTATTAAACTAAGGAACAAAAATGGAAAATTTTATTCTATTTATAAAAAATGAGAGACTAAATTTGTAATTCTTTTTAATACAGACAGTCAAAGATACAGAGAATCATGAATTCTTCCAATTGCCATGTTGTTTGTTGTGGGTGTCCAGAAGGGAATCTCTCTACACAGTTTGGATTTTGCTCTCTTCTTTTCCAAACAGTTTCGTCCTTGTTTCTTTCTACAGGACAAAACTGTTCAATAATTTACACAAATTTCACTGTCCACTTCCATATTGTCTTCTCCATAATACGATACCGATTTTCTTCTGTTTCTTCTCAAGGTGGAAACCGGGCCCAGCTCCAGGCCCAATATCATAATGCTCAAGTTGGGCTCTGATTATTGTATGGGCCTAAGTCCAATAATGAGGCCCAAATAGGATAGAGATTTGGGCTTCGATCCAACTGTAGAAACTATATATTTATTTATTTATATATTTAAATTATGTAAATAAATAAAAGGAAAAAGGAGGAGGAGGTTCCAGAAGTTTTGCAGCCACCACAAGCACTAATGCCCAATCCAAACCCAATTTTCACCATAAAAACACAATCCCTTATCCCCTCACCCAATTATTCCATCTTGTCTCTTTCAATCTTTTCCCTTTTAATTTCAAACACAAATTTATTCACATCTAATATCTCCGACATTCCGACATTCCCAGCTAAGTTACTCATTCCTCATTTTTAAACACGAGTCCTTCCACCATACTTTGTCCTCGCTCACATACATGGCACGAAATGGTCAGAGTAAAGCACGCTTAACTATAGAGTTCCTAGTAATCGAAAAGTGAAGGTGTACCTTATTGGTATAAGGAGTAACTTTCATTTTCTTTAAACATTTCTCAGCCATCCGATCATCTTGAATATGATCTTTCTCCATTTATGTACATCTTATAATACGTAGAAACTATTTAAACAGATTAAAAAAAAAAACAAAAATCAATTAATTTTAATCTTAAACTTTCATTATCATCAAATTTGACCAAAAAGTATTGTAACATATGCACACATTTTTTTTCTCTCTCAAAATAATAAATTAATAAATAAAGGTGAGTGGTTGATGGGCTAAATATATTAAAGAAATATAGATATGATATGTGATTTTACGCTTTTTTGACTAAATAATGTCCCACTCGCACCGTCGATCATGCATTTCCTCCACCATGCGAGGAAAAGTCCGCACTAATAAATAAATAAATAAATAAATTTGTCCAGCTTTAATAAATCTAAAACGTAAAATATCATTTTATAATCATTTAGTTTTAGGATTTTTTTTTTTAATTCCATTGAAAAATATTAAAAAAAAAAAACTAAACTTTTTCATTAAAATAAAATAAAAATCTTAATTATTATTCAAATAAATATATCATGACAAAATTATCAAATATTAATTACATTTGATGAATAATTGTGGAAGCTAGCTAAGCTATACGATTGTGACATTGGGAGCTGATAGGACGTGTCCCAAATTTCCTGCAATAATCATTTGGAAGTGGCCATAATTCTAATTAACACTCAAATCCCGATTTGCCTTCTTCTCCTCGCACCATTGACCATTCAATTAGCACATTAAACTTTTTATTTTTTATTTTTTATTTTTTTTATTACTATTATACTCGGACTACAATAGAATGATAATAAATTTTCTATAACAGAGGAGTAAGAGAAAAAAATTTCAATATTTTTTTTTGTCCTCTATTCAATAATATAATCGAATTGTCAGAGGGAGAATCTGGTTCGTACGATTAATTAATTAAAAAAATAATATATAACTTTAAATATTTAATATTTATTTAGTTGAAAAAGACCATTATTTTAATAATAGAAATAAATATTGTATGACCATCCCTTTTACACTTTTCAATTTAAAATCTGGGCACAATAAAAATAATATTTTTTTTTCAGAATTCAGAGTATTTCAATTATAAAATCTGAAAATAAATATACGCTAAATTCAATAAATCCGAAAATATAAAAGGGAATCTATATTATTTTCAATGGCCACTGGGCCCACCCGTACAGTATCGATTAATCAGTGTGGGCCCCGTTAGAAACTAATTAAGAATCCAAATCAGTGATCATCTGGGCAGGGTTAGATTCCAAATTCACCTCCCAAGATTCTGCATGTATTGCACGTGATGACACGTGACAGAACCAAACAAATCATTTTCCAATATTTATTATATAATTTAATCTTTTTTTTTTCTCTTTTTTCACACAAGATTCACTAAATCATATAAATGAATAATTAAATATTTTTTACATAAAGTTTTGTTTTTAATTATGTGATTTAAATTGTGATATTTTCATACACGCAACTTGAAAATTTTGGTGCACCTATATTTTAAATTCAAATTCTAAAATAGAAACTTAATTTAATTTAAATAGATTTCTTAATTGATCCTCGTTGTAATATAATAGCCTCCTCCTATAATTGGCGCGTAGACGGTAGAGGCCCACCTGAATTCCGCGCCCCACAAATGAGTTGAAGATTCCGGAATTCGGGAGCCGGGAGCCAGACGCCAAAAGCCTAGTTCCAAATTCCAAATTCCAGAGAGGCTTTCGGCCTCCGCCATAGCTCTCCGGCTGCCTTTTCTCTCCGCCGCTTCTTCTTCGTATCACTGCAGCCGCCGGTCATGGCCATTGCCTCTGCTTCCACGACCGTTTTTTTCATCAAGAATCATCAACGCCATCATTATCCCTACTATTCTTCATTCTCCATTTTGTTTTCCTACCTGATCTTTTTACTTTTGTTTTCATCTCCTCCCACCGCTTACGCGTTTACTGGTATTTCCATCATCTTTCTTTTTAGTCTCGTCTTGATATGCTACTTCGCCTTACTCCCTCGGGATGGAAAATGGATGTTCCTTTGTGGAAATACATGAAACTGAATCGAAATGAATACGAACCACTCGTTTATGCTTTTACGGATAACGTACATGGTTAAATTTCACTTTCCGTCCAAGAACTCTGGAAAATCACTTGTTCTAATATCTGCTCAAACATATTTTTTCGGAGGTGTTGACAGATCTGTTTCTTCTCCATCGAGTTATCTGTCGTAGTAAATCATAACTATTGTATGTTGCTCATAAAAGGCAGGTTTTCTTTTTCTTTCCTTTCTAGGTCGGGAATATTCTGTTTGGTTGGGTATTTTCGCTGTGGCGGGATTATTATCAGCTTTTATGATGATGTTCTAGTTGTCACAACCATATCTAATGAAATTATTTTTCATGTTAGTGAACGATTGTATGTTGAACACTGAAAATATTATTCAATTTTTTCCAGGAGATGTAGCCGAAGATTCGAATAACAGAAGGGCTGATTTGTTCGTGCAAATTCTCAAGGACGAAGCGGTAGGAAGATTGAACGAACTAGGGAAGGTAGTGGACCACAACTCCATTTTCCCTCTCTCTGTTTGCTACAATAAGCCTCCCCTAGCTAATGTTTGGTACTTGTTAAATTCACTGAATAATTGGACGATTTGCATGGTATCTTCGTGTTTTCTATTCATAATATAAAAATGTCATGTGTTGACCATGTAACTTGATTTTACAGAATAATACTTCAGAAATAGGTATTGAAAGAGTTCCTGCAATTTTTCATAGTTTTGTTCTTTCTTAGTAATTTTCGATTGAAAGATAAGCGAATTTCAGATCTTTTCGTCTCTGAAGTATTTACCTTGGTTACTTCCACTTCCCATTATCAAACACTTCATTTTATGCGGTACTCCACATATTATAGCTTAGTCCATGAAAAGTTGTCCTCCCCTTCCCCCAGATAAACCTGCTGAATACCAGAGGTTGAGTTCTGTTCCAACTTAAAAACTGTAAAATGGTGAGTTTTCTGTGTTTGTGTTAAATATTCCCTGCTGTTTACTTAAGAGTTATCTTACAATTGTCCCCAATTACCAGGTGAGTGATGCGGCTCGATATCTTGAGAGGACATTCTTGAGTCCAGCTTCAATTAAAGCAAGATTTCTTCTTCAAAAATGGATGGAGGATGCTGGATTAAGAACGTTAGATTTCTACATCTCCTCATCTGGAAGAAGTCTTAATTGTTATTGACTTGTGATCATGAACATTTTTCAGGTGGGTTGACTGCATGGGCAATCTACATGGTCGAACTGAGGGCAGGAATGCAAGTGCTGAAGCATTATTGATTGGATCTCACTTGGTGATTATTTGACTTCCCCTAAGCAGAGGCAAGAATTTATGTTGCATACCGAGCTAAGAATTAAAATTTCGTTTTTTTCCTCGTAGGATACTGTTGTTGATGCTGGAAAATTTGATGGCGCATTAGGCATCATATCTGCTATCTCTGCTTTGAAAGTTTTTTATATGAATGGGAAGTTAGAAGAATTAAAGAGGCCAATTGAGGTTTGAGTTATTTACTTTCTCATTAACAATAGTGAATTTGGAAGAAATAAGTGACTTGTTTTAGATATCTTCTTCCTCCAATTTTTATCATCCGAGCAAAATCTTTCTCAATTTTTTGGAGAACTGTTTGTCGCTCAAACAAATGGAACTTTTAGTACATATTGGAGGAAGCAATCAGGAACATTATTGGTCCTGGTACGACAACATTTCTACCTTGTCACATTTAGTTATAATCAACTACAAAATTATGCAGGTGATTGCCTTCAGTGATGAAGAGGGCGTGAGGTTTCAATCAACCTTTTTAGGAAGTGCTGCTATTGCTGGTATCTTACCAGTTTCATCTTTGGAAATATCAGATAAAAGGTTTTGTTACGCAACTACGAACTCACCGGATACTTATCACTCATTATTATCTGCATATTAATTAACAGTCTTTTATCAGTGGCATGACTATAAAAGATGTTATTACGGAGAGTGGTGTACAGATAACAGAGGAGAACCTGTTGCAACTCAAGTATGACCGTAAGTCTGTCTGGGGATATGTTGAGGTATGACCTGGTTGCTTTTCTGGTGTTTGTTCTTCACTTAAAAACTTATTTTTAGAACTTAGGTATATTAATCGGTTCTTTTCAACCATTGTGAGAGAATTGTTGTTTGCTTTGACCTTCAGGTTCATATTGAACAAGGTCCCGTACTTGAGTGGTCTGGTTTTCCTCTTGGAGTGGTTAGAGGCATTGCTGGGCAGACACGCCTAAAGGTACATGAGTTAAATAACCTGGAGGTCATGGAGAATTTTGTTAATCGTTTATTTGAAGGGCTTGCCACACATTCGATGGCATGGCCACAACATTTTAAAACATTAATCATCACGTTTCTTGACTACTAACTTGTTATATGTCATGGTTGATAAGCATGTTTGTGTTTAGATCTGTACTCCCAGAGAAAATGCTTATAACTTAAAAGTCATTCTTTGCTTATCATCCAAACCGAGGAAAATCCAATTAATGGAAGAGTTTTGAAGCTAGGCCATTTTGACTTCAAGAGTACAATTGATAATAGAAATGAACTTGAAGTTGCACTTTAACCCATGGTCCACTATTGGACGTCTATATTATGTTAATTTACCTACTTTTTCTCCCTCCAAATTTATAATTTAGCTGGTGTGTAAAACTCAAAGGAAGGAAATCTGACTTTCTTGTTTCACGAAAGAACTAGAATGGATTTATTTAAGTTGGGATGTGAGTTTCGTTTGATAGAGCGATCCGTGCACAAAGATTGCAGGTTACAGTGAGAGGTTCTCAGGGGCATGCAGGAACGGTTCCAATGCCTTTGCGCCAAGATCCCATGGCAGCTTCAGCTGAATTGATTGTACAATTGGAAAAACTCTGTAAGCAACCAGAGAGTTACTTATCTTTTGATGGCCATTGCAGTGATTCTACCCTGAAATCACTTTCCACATCTCTTGTCTGTACGGTTGGAGAGATATCAACATGGCCCAGTGCAAGCAATGTCATTCCAGGCCAGGCAAGCATTTGATATAGAGGCACTGCAGACCGTACCTTTTTACCAGACAATTTTTAATGTTTGGCATGTTACAGGTGACCTTCACTGTAGATTTACGTACTATCGATGACATTGGACGAGAAGCTGTAATTTATGAATTCTCTAATCAGGTACATAAAATTTGCAGCAGCCGGTCGGTTTTGTGCAATATCGAACGTAAGGTGTGTATATCTTCCATTGTGTTCGTTGTCCACATTTATCATTTACTTCCATTCCACATCAATAATCTGCTCTGCCTGTTCCTTTCAGCATGATGCAAATGCCGTAATTAGTGATTCGGAGCTGAGCTCGCAGCTGAAATCTGCAGCTTCCGCTGCACTCAAAAAAATGGTAGGCGAGATTCAGGAGGAAGTACCTGTATTAATGAGTGGAGCCGGGCACGATGCAATGGCAATGTCTTATTTAACGAAGGTTTGTTCTCAACGTTTATACTGTAATTCTTAAAAGTTCTACTTCTGCATTTGCATCGACATGGTTATACGTTAACACGAGGGAATTGGCAGGTGGGAATGTTGTTCGTCCGCTGTCGTGGAGGTGCAAGTCACTCCCCCTCCGAGCATGTATTGGAGGACGACGTTTGGGCGGCGGGTTTGGCTGTCTTGGAATTTCTAGAAAACCATCTGTAGTATTTTTACTCTATGTTCCCAGTACGCAAAACTAATTAGTTACTTAGTAGAAGTGCTACATGTTAATTCATTTGTACAATCCATCTTCGTAGATTTGTACTGCCCCTTTGGTCGTAAGCAAGACTAATAAACTTCATGTTGTATGTAAATTCAATTTTTACAACCTATTATCGTGGGTTGTATTCAATCATTTTCTCACCATTCAAGCTCAATTTCTGACAAGAATCGAGTCCATTAAAAGGAAAGCAACTGTCGGATGAATCATTTTGCAAGTTATGTTAAATAATCGTGTTTGTTGTTACCATTAGATATCGAACATTGCACAATAGTTTGACCAAGTGAAGTGGTCATACCCCCGTGTTCGAAAACTATTCAGAAATTGGGTTAAATGTGACTACCAACCTTGGATCCTGTCCTAGACTAACTGGCTTCATTCCAAGTTAGAATCTAGCAATGGGAATTCTTTACTTCATAGTGAGAGGTGAAGGGGCCAATTGCTGCAACTGATGAACAACATGCGACATTCTAGGGCGCATGGATGGGACATGCTGCGTGCAAGCATACACAAGGTCCACCACCTTCTGAACAACACCACACTCCGGAATCCCAGAAGTAGAACTGCCTGTTATACAAGGATCCAAGAGATCTAGGTAACGGTGAGCCTGCACAAGTGGTGTTGCCCATTCGAAAATGCTCTGCCAGCCAACTGAATCAACTGCCTGTGTAGGCCTCCGACCCGTCACAATTTCAAGCAGTAGCACCCCAAAACTGTAGACATCGCTCTTTGTCGTTAGTTCATTTCTGTAGACAAATTCAGGAGCAAGGTATCCGTAGGTTCCTCCTGCCATAACCGTCCTCTCGTGCATCGCTTCATATGCCACCAATTTCGATAGGCCAACTCCCATCAGATGTGCTCCAAATTCTTCATCAAGAAGTACATTACTGGCACGGATATCTCGATGTACCACGTGTGGCTTGACCTTGTCATGAAGGAACCTGTACAGAACATGAAAGATGAGAGTCGGTTCATAATTGCTAGAGAAGAGGTAGGATTATCAATCAAAGTAATAGTTCCTCTGCATCTTAAGAGAGATCCATATTTTTAACAAGAAAGATCCATAAATTGTACATACGCAATCCCTTGGGCAAGAGTCGTGGCAATTTTCATTCTCATGGTCCAATCTAAGCTTCGACCACCTCTCGGTACATGGTGAAGCCATCGATCTAAGGGTCCATTGACAACGAATTCATAAACAATGTACCGGTCACCATGGTTATAGCAGCATCCTTTCAGGGCAACCAAACTTGGGTGACGAAGTCTAGCAACTCTTGCAATTTCAGAATGAAACTCTTTTTTCCTCTGAAAGGTGGACTTCTTTAATCTTTTAATTGCAACTCTTGAACCATCGGGTAAGAGTCCACTGTATGTACCACCCGTTTTTGTGTCTCCAAGAAGACAGTTTCCCTCACTAAAGTTTTTTGTAATAGATCTCAGCTCTTCCTTGGTAAACACCTTCCATGAAGGTGGTACCAGTGCAGAAGCTGCAGGATTGGATACCTTCCGAGACCTTCTCCGTTTTTTGCTCCTCTTGTAGGCAAGAAGCCAAATCACAACAGCAAACGTCGTGCAAAATATCAACCCACTCACAACAGCTAGAATAACTAGATACTCCTTGTGGCAGTGCATGCGCTGGCATCTATCATCTGATACAATTAAAACAATATCAATCTCAGTGTGGATCACAACATCTATCAATGACTAAACTACCCAAGAACCAGGAAATGAAAATACCAAACATGTTAGATTCATTCCATTCCTCTCTTGCTATAAGTTCTCACTCTGTTAACGAGTTACGTGACAAGAACGCCTAAGATGATGGCATACCTAGATTTATCATGCATATAAAAGGGTGAGAACTGTTGCATTTCTCATCCCTAAGGAAGGGTGCTGCTAGTCCACCAACTATCAAAGCACATGTTTCAATCAAATCATTCATGCGGCAAGAGACATTTTTGCAATTAGATTGTGAAGCTGTGCTGGGAATAATGGAATCGTTCCATTTCGAAACATTATCTGACCACTTCCAAACAAGATTATTTGAAGAGTTGAACACTCTGCCACCCACCCAACAGCCACCAAAAGTTCCATTACACATGTTTTGTGCAAAGCTGAACTCTTGATATGTTATCAGAGATGCCAAGTTCCCGCCTAAACCATTACATTGGTTCTCTGATTCATTCCATGATTTAGGGCTCGACATAAAACCGTAGCACTTAGTCCTGTTTGGGCTAATAAACCAACCATGTGGGCACCGTCCTAGCCAAAGAGAAAAGAAAAGCATTTGAGGTTGCCATATTATAACCACAGTATAACAATGACAAACAGAAATTGAGACAGATTCTCATAACGATGTAGAATATGCTTGAATGCAAGGAAGGAAAAAGGGATAAGTAAACTAAAAACCTAAATAGGACATGTCGCTTAAATAATCAGCAAGCATAGGAAGACTCTGATTAAATTATGAATGAAGAGTTTAAGCATAGAAAAATCTTTCATATTCAGAAAGAAGAGATATATTTTTTTTTCATAGGTCTTCCAAGTTGAAAAAAAACCTAAACTGTTTTCTTCTTCCTTCAATTCACCGAACGGTTGTAGGCAAAGTAGCAATTCTAGAAGTTAACTGTATACCTTTTGGGTTTTCATTTCGGGAAACAACCGAATGCCCACTTACTGAGTCGTTGAACATCTACATAGCCAAAGGAAACTTCATGACATAATTTCCCAAAACAGGGGCACAACATTTAATTGATTCCGATGGAAAAGCCAAAACAAGAATATAACATCAAGCAGTAATGAAGGAAAAAAAGAAAATCAGTCGAATTCTAGTTCCTTACAGTGTCCGAGGCGCCCATTCTGGACACCCAAATTAACGTCAGAAGCGGAAGAAATTGCAGATACAGCGTTTTCACCTCTGTCGGAGCCATTACCCAAACCCTAAGCATAAAAACTCGAAAGTTTAGCCAGAAGAAGAAGCCGTAACGAGATCGCGCACCAAAAAACACGTCCACCAAATCTAACTACCTCAGAAAGCACAGAAGTCGACAATCCCCAGTGATTCGAACAGATAAATTAATGTCTAATTCATATCCTCCATAAAACAAGAGAACTTAAAAAACAAATAAATAAATAAATAATCCACAAACGAGATTTGAAACAAAATCACAACATCAGCAGAACGCTCAGTTTGAACGCCAATTGGAAGAATCAACCACAAATTGATGAAGAAATCTTTAAAAATACTTACCAACCGACAGGGCGTAGACTTCTGAGGTCTTGAAAATGCGAGTGGTTTAGGCTTAGATGCAAATCCCTTTTCTGTTCGCCTCCATTTCCATGTATTTCAGCATTTCATACGAATCAGATAACTCATGGAGTAGCTGCCCTGAGCTGATCTGAGAGCACCAAGATTCGAAGGCCTCATGGTCACGAAGCATAAGGTCGTTGGCAGTTAACTAGGTCTGCCGACTCTGGAGACTGGAACGCACCCTTTTTCATTCTTTCCCTCCCTTTTTCTTTTAACAGCTGTAAATTATATATAATACAAATATAAAAACTCATAATTTGTAAACATACTCATTTATTTATTTTTCAATTAATTAACTAATTTAACTATATATATATATATATATTAAATAAATAGTACTATATTTAATTTATTGTCACATCCTTAATTAATTATATTTTTTTTACAAACAATAATTACAGAACATACCCATATTATATTATAAATATAAAATTTAAATTAATTAAAAATATTAAAAAACAAACGTTAACCTTAATTATCATCATGTTTGAAACATTTATTATAAGTATGTGAAAAACTCTCAGTAATAAATATCATTTTAGAATTAGAAGGGGACGAGAGATATAAAATCTATAATAATTTAGATATCAAATAGATATGGATCGAATCGAGAGAGATGAGGTGGAACTGTTGAAGATTATTGAGAGTGAGTCTCACATTGGTTAATTTAGTGGAAGATCATAAGATTATAAGTGAGGAATACTATATCAATTCTGATAAGGCCTTTTAGGGAAGCCTAAAGCAAAGCCAATAGAACAGTGTCCCACGCGGAGAGAGTCAACACCCAGAAACCCGAGCCATCTGTCTGCCATTGCAGTCTTATCCGTAGAGGAAGCTGATTTGTTCGATTGAAGAAGGAGAAAAGCAAGAACAAGAATTAAATTAAATTAAAAAAAAAAAAAAAAGAAAAAAAAAAAGAAAAAAGAAAACAGAACAAAGAAAAGAACAGTAACATAATAAAAACGTAAAGTACTGGCGGTCGGCGTGCCCTAAATTTACGACTTGGAGGATGACAGCAGACACCCAACGTTTCTGAATTTGAGGAAAACGCATATTCAATACAACATTATCTCTCTTTGACTTGGTCAAAATAAATTCTACCCAATTAAACCTAACAAATTTAAATTAAAAAAAAAAAAAAAAAAAAAAAAA